AGTTTTGCAAACTGGTTAAGAGGAAGTTTAGGATTTTTATTTTAGTCTGGGTTTAGAAATATATATTAAAGTTGTTTGTGGTCACTTCTGTGTATAGTGAAGTTACTGGTCATTCTGGAATAGAAATGGCTTCTGGTAATACTCTTAATGCCCATGGTGCCTACCCATCCAACAGCTATCACCCAAAGACCTAGGGCCAAAGGTCATCTTGTCACTTAAATGTGTATTCATGATTTTGTTTTTCTTAAAGAAGGTCCCTACACCATACAAACGTCAAGAGCTACAAACCAGGATCTTTACTTGGAGCAATGTCAAACAGGACCCAAGAGTATGCTATTATTAAACATTTTTAACCCGGGAAAGATGAGGGCCTAGAGCAAGGCAGTGGCCATGCATATGGAAGAGAAGGGTCAAGATACAAGAAGCACAAAGGGAGTCCAACCTCTGGCACTTGGCCATTGCTTTGACTTGGAGGTCCATTCACAGAGAAAGACCAGTAGGGAAATGGTGTTTGATGGGCTGAATCCTGCTTTGGGCTTGTTGTTCTATTGACGGACAAATAGAGGAAAATGCTGGTCTGCAGTGTAGCTGAGCACCCAGGTGTTTGGGGGATCCTATTTGCTATATTTTCCATTCTCTGGAGGCCACTTACAGGCTATTTTTTGACCCTCACTTTCGTGTCCCGAGGCCATGAAACAGCAGCCAGCTTTCTCACCCTCAGAATTTCCCAGGAACACTTCCACCCCTGAGATGCCCACTCAGGGGATGCAGGGCGCAGGCCCGATGGGGCTCTCGCCAGGCCTGGTCTGTGATGGGACACATGGGTCCTTGGGTGTTGGATCTTCGCGTCCCTTTTGGCAGGATGCTCTTCCCTACGAAGAGAGGGTTTTCTTTCTGTTATATTCCCCAAACCTCTGCTTCCCCCGGACAGGAAGTCTACAGCACCTTCCCCCAAGGTTTTATAAGTCTCTAGGCGCCCAGGTTTAGGCTCTAATGAAGAAGCCTCAGTGTTGATTTCCCAGCTGGGAAACATAGCTCATTATCTTCCATGGTTTTGCACAATCTGGAATGCTTCACAAGCTGGGCTTGAGGTCTGCGGTGACTTTTTAGTTTCCATGTATGAACTTGGAATGAAGGGCGAAAGCTTTCAGTCAGTTGAGTTGCCTTTTTCTGAAGTCAGTTTTCCCCAGGGAAGGAAACCACCACAGTAATTGCAGCTTTTTATTTTCCAAGTTAGCCGATGTCTGAGTAAGCTGGAATTCCACTGTCTGGGAACTGAACTGCCATGGCAAGATTGTTGAGAAAAACTTAACCTCATTATTACCAGCAATTGTGGAATGAGTAGAAATGCATATTGATTAGTTTGCCAATTGCAAATACTTTCCAAATAAGACAGTCAAGAAAGAAAACCAAAATGTATTAGACAACAGTAGTCCGGTGAGAAGCTTTATGATACTGGTGATTCAGAGTGTTTTTATAAACCTGCTCTAATTATACCTTGAACTGTGTTGAGTCAGAATAGAGACTTAAATGTTAGACCTAATACCATAAAAACCCTAGAAGAAAACCTAGGTAATACCATTCAGGACATAGGCATGGGCAAGGACTTCATGTCTAAAACACCAAAAGCAATGCAACACAAGCCAAAATTCGACAATGGGAATCCTAATTTAAACTAAAGAGCTTCTGCCAGCAAAGAAACTACCATCAGCGTGAACAGCGCCAACCTACCGAATGGGAAAACATTTTTGCAACTACTCATCCTGCCCCGGGCTAATATCCAGAACCTACAAAGAACTCCAAACAAATTTACCGCAAAAACCCTGCGTGGGCAAGGCTTGAACACGACATTTCCTCAAAAGATTCTACCAAGCCCACAGACACTGAAAAAATGCATCATTCATTCAACTGGCCATCAGAGAAATGCAAATCAAAACCCACAATGAATACCATCTCACACACATTACGAATGGTCAAATCATTAAAAGTCGGCAAACACACAGGTGCTGGGAGCGATGTGGAGAACTAGGAACACTTTATACTGTTGGTGGGATTGTCCAACTAAGATCAACCCATTATGGAAACAGTATGGTGCATTCCTCAAGGCAATCTAGAACTAGAATACCATACCTCGCCAGGCCATCCATTAACCTTGGTATACCCCAAAGGATTATACTATCTGCTGCTATAAGACACATGCACACGTATGTTCTCCTTGCAGCACTATTCACAATAGCAAAAGACTTGAATCAACCCAAATGTTCATCAGTCGACACGATTGACTTAAGAAAATGTGGCGCATACTACTACACATTGGAATCTAATGCAGCCAAAAGATGAGTTCCTTGTCCTTTGTGGGGACTGGATGCAGCCTGGAAACCTCATTTCAGCACGTCATTGCCAAAAAAAAACCAAACACTGCATCCTTCTCACTCATAGGTGGGACTCGCACAATAAGATCCTTGGACTCGGAGGGGAACATCACACCGGGGCCTACTTATGGGGAGGGGAAAGGGATTGCATTGGGAGTTATACCTGATGTAAAGGATGAGTTGATGGGTGCTGATGAGTTGATGTGGTGGGGTGCAACACACCAACGTGGCACAAGTATACTATGTAACAAACCTGCACGTTATGCACATGTACCCTAGAACTTAAAGTATAATAATTAAAAAAAAAAAAAAGAAAATTTCACCTCAGTGAGACCTTATCCTGACCCCCTTTAAAATTGTTTTTTAAAGTTTTCTATTTCATCCCTTTATCTGCTTGAAGTTGTTTTCCCCATGGAACTTTTTCTTTTTTTTTTTTTTTTTGGTAAAATATAGTCTAATTTAGTCATTTATTTTACCTATTTCTCTATCCCACACTAGAATTAAGCTCTATGAAGGCAGGATTTTATGTTCCTACTTACTGATGCATTTCAAAAACCAAGAAAAATTCTGGCACATAGTAAGCACTCACTGAGTATCTACTGAATGAATGAAAGAATGTTATTTCCAAAGAGCATAAAGTAGAATGAGAAGTGGGCTTAGATGATTGGATTAACTTTTGTGGAACGTAGTTCAATGGAAGGTTCTAGTGGTGAAAGCAGTCAGTATGTCAACAAATGGTGATTGAAGCCCTACTTCACTCCAAATGATAGTTCCCCAAATCCTCCAGAATTTAGTATCCACTGTCCATTAAATACTTTGGTCATTTTCAAAATGTCTTATGTCTTTTAGTGTTCCTTGGGGGTAGGTTTGCCTTTCTGTCGTACATAGTGTGTCTTACAGTGATATGCACATACCAAGCAAATATTTGTTGAAAGAGGAAAGGAGTGAACTGGGTTAAGGCATTAGGTTACTTGGAAATCCATTCATTTATCACATAAACATGTGTTTTATTGCCTTATGGCCCACAACAGTAATATTTTGCAAGATGGGGTCTATATTTCTGAATGATCAGCGTGTTTTCTGCAATCTTTGGGTTTTCGTTTCTCCGATCATCTGGAAAATCAACTCAAACGTATTCTGGATTATCTGGATAAACCAAATACTGGCAGGAAGTCTTAGTGTCCCTATTTGTTTCTGTGTATCTTTTGAGCATGTAGGCACTAGGTAATGTAGTACTTTTCTCACAGGTTAAAGAAAAGAACACAGGCAGACTGAAAAAAGAAATGATTTATTCACCCCAAAGGAAGCCCAAATGGCATTAAGCCATTCTGTTAGAATGCTTCACAGTAGTTTAAAAGGAGAAGAGAGATGAGAGAAATGAGTCATAAGATGTGTGGTAAAATAAGATTGCTGAACTAGCAGTCAGTACTATATGCCTGTTTTGAGAGGTGACCTTGTTTTGGCAAAGCATAAGGTTTGGTTTTCTTAAATGAATATTTTAAATTTGGTTTTTGTTGGTTTTATAGTTTTGTTTGCATTTATTTTGTAATTCTGTGGGATTCCTTGTTGCTACAGGAGCTATACAATCAGGAATTTGAGCCTACTTTTATGTTTTATATATATGAATGATATCATAATGAAAAATTGTTTAAATTAGGGGTATGAGTCCTTGAAAATGTGTTTTTATTTGAGTAGTTTTTAGTGGAGTATATATACTTAAGTTTATGAAAAACTACATTATAAAGCTTCAGGGCCCAGGATGCAGAATATTTATTTCAGTAAAGTCCATGTGTGATAGTTCAATGTTGGACAGCTATTTCTGCAGCAACTGCTGCTAGTGGTGATGCTGGTGGTGAAAAATAGAAAGGAGGGAATCTTAGGAAAATATAGAGAGAAAGTTGGTTGGAGGAAGTGGAGGAATTTTAGACCAACTTGGAGCTTTCTTTGCAATTTAGCTTTTGACTGGCTCTGAATTTGTGAGTTGTCTTTCTTAGTGACACTTCTCAAATGGCTAAGCAAAATGCAGTCTCTTCGTTTCCAGATTTAAAAGAAAAAAATTGTAGTCAGCATTTCTGTAGTGAGGCAAATCTCTATGTGTAATGCGGAACACTGGGAGACATAAAGAGCTGTCTCGAGTTATTAGGATGGGAGATCAGAGGAATGAGATGCTTATTTGCTGATACTGTCCTCCCTACTCCCCAATCTTCCTAGCCCTGCAATGGGAAATAGGAGTAGAAAGAAATAAACCGAAGGCTTTATTTCAATTTACTTTACTAGAAGAGGTTCTGAGAGCAAGTGTTATTTTACAGTCACATTTTCTGCCATGTCTAGAGCAATATCGTCCTGGAGTTCAGGCAATCAACACATATTTATTGAGCACCTATCATGTACCAGCCATTATATAAGGAAGTGAAGACAGCTCCCTGCCTTTGGACTTACATAAAGCCAATACTTAATGATTTTCTTCTACTGTGTGTCTTCTCTTGGTACACTTTGGTTGAATATGAGTGGGCAATTTGACAATTTTTGGCATGTTCTTTATGATAATTTTATAATTTCAAGGATAAAGTACAGAGAAATCATAAATGCCCAGATTAATTTGTTCTTTTTATCCTTTTCTGTTTCTAGGGGTGTCATGAAAGTTGACATAAATCTTCAGAAAGTGGACATTGACCAATGCTCAAGTGATGGCTGGTTTTCAGGAACTCATAAATGCCACCTCAATAATTCAGAGGTAAGAAGATGAAAATAAAATCCTTTTTAAGCTCAGAAATATGTTATTTTGAATATATTTGTGGGGGTAAATGAACAAGAGGCATCTTACTGGGAACAAAATCTTTGTAAGTCTCAGTGCTGCCAAATGAACTGAACTAGGAGTAGAAAATAAAATTTGTGTAGAATAACTGTTCATTTGGGGACTGAAAGAAGGCCAAAACTACAATTACATCTGAAGTTTGACTTCAGTCAAAGCCTGGCCCTATTCTTCAAAATGGGCTGGAAATTTAAAATGGTCCTGAGATGAGAAATCAGTCCCAGGAAGGGTCAAATTATGCCTGTTTTTATGGAATATGATGCTTATTGAAATATTGGTGGTATTCATTCAGACACACTGCTATCTGCTAGAAGAGCACTGGACAAGGTATGGTGGGGCAATTTTGAAAACAAGGAGAAAACACTGTACAGGGTCCTGGAAAGGAATTGTGTATATGTGTGTGTATTTGTTCAGTTTTTAGTCCCTATTCATGCTGAATTTGATGATAACTCTGGTTGATAGGAAACAGGCATAGAGATCATGCTTCTGGAAATAAGACTATCACGTGTCTTTTGTAGTTTCAGAGAAGAAATATGATGACATAATAGTGATTTCATTTTTAGTAGTCCATTTTCAAAGTCCTCAAACTGTGAAATAAACATACAATAAAGTTCTTGATCTTAAATAGTTGGGGTATTCCAACATTGATTCCATGACTTTGTGAGGAAAGTCAGCTTGCTTTATTTAAAACAGAGGGGATATTTCCACAAATGTAGTAATTTACATCTTTAATTTGAATTTTTGTCATTTGTGAAAGGTGATTGTACATAGTGTAATTTTTAAGGAATGAATTTTGAATCAGAAGGAAATTTAGCAATAAGCACTTATTTGTACCATTACACACAAAAAAATGCACAGACAGGCGTACAGGTATATATGCATGCATATACACGTATATATGCCCATTGATTATTTACCATGTATACACCCACCATGCATACTCCTGCCACACACAACCCACATACCCCTGTACTCCCACACTCCTAAATATCTTTTCACTGTTTCCCACATCCACCATGCATTCAATACATACTTCCACCCTGCCACCACACTCTCCACAGCATCCCTCAATCCTCTTGCCCCCAAACTGTAAGAAGCCCCCATAATGCCCCATATCCCTCTAAATCTATCACATCTCTCCACCATATCCTGATGATCCCCCACTTCGTCAATACATTCCCACAGCCCCCCCATTCCCTCACATCCACACCCCTTCTCCCACATCTCCATACACCTCCACAGAGATTGCCATCCACAGTTAATGTTTCCGCCTTGCTAACTCACAAAATTGAGCTCTTCTTTTGGTCTCCTTTAAATGTTCTTAGGGTTTTGAACATTTCTGAGCCTCCACTTAGGATGATTCGGGCATTTCTAAGATATGAATTTCAATTGCTTGGCTTGGTGAATATCTTTAGCCTGATTATTATCTCCATGCCAATGTCTACAGCAATATTCTTCTGTTAAGAGCAGATAGCCACTTAGTGTTGTCTTTTAGCCAGAGTGGACTTTTTTCTGCATGGGTGTCATATTGTGGATATTGATCTGTGTGTGTTCATTTCTATATAGCCTTGTGTTAGTGGTGCTCCTGGGTGGTTCAACAAGCAGTCTGCCTAGAAATAAGGAGATACTTACTTTTCAGTTTGTTACAGTTGCTGCTTGCCTCTAATAATCATGGTGTGGTTTTGTGTCCTTACAGTGCATCTGTTTATTTGACTAGATGGTCACACTACAAGAACCTCTTTTTCCTTTTGGAAGATTGATTTATTTTCATTGCATCAGGATGATTAATTTTCTGGGTTTTGTGTCTTTTTAAAGCTTTGAGATAAACTAGGTTATTTCAAGATAAAATATTATCCTCTCTTCTGATTAACAAAGATTAGGTTGAAATTTATAACTTTTGGGATTATATATGGGAGCATTATATTTATTAAATTCCTACTGAAAAAGGTGGAAAAATATTCTACAATTTCATTAGAAAATATTGTAGAAAGAGGCTAAGTGATCGAAAAGCAATATCAAAACAATGGATCTACAGAGTACATGTTCAACTTGCAGTCTGTGTCCCTTTTGCCACCTTTTGTTGCCCAGGTACTGGAGTTGGGAGTAAAGAATCTTTGTGTCTTGGCTATGCTCAGGAGGCCCTCATGGGGTAGTCTTCCCTGAACAGGTCTGTCCTGGAACTCTTCACACATTTTATTGGGCTTCTCTAAGGTTGTATAGTTTGTGCTGATCGCTCTAGGCACCTGCAACAGTTCTGGGCCACATCCTCAGTGTAGTTACTGGGAATAGTTTTTCAGTCCCTTTCCCATACAAATGTGAGTTAGAGATTAGAAACTGGCTTCTCTGGAGGTTTTTGCTGCTTGGGAAAACAGAAAGAAACATCTCTCACTTGTGGCATTTTTCATGTGTTCTGGCTCTACTTTATTCTTTGTAACAACCCCCCCTGTTACCACCCCAAGGATTGCTGTGTAAACTGGCTTATTTTGGGAAGCACTTAACATGATCTACATTTGTGGGATGTAGGGTCCTGTCTTTATGAATGTCCATTTGTTAGAAATAAAGATACTCATCTTGGTTTACAATGGGTTTTATCTTGCTGATGTTTGACATTCTTCTCTTGTAAACAATAGACAAAGTTACAAATTTCAAAGTTATAAATGAGGCAGACTTTTCACTGTAAAAATTTTTCTAGCGATGTTGGAAAACTTTTCAGCCTCTAGGGTATGTACAACCAGAATATCAGGTCTGATGTTGGAAACCGATAAGTGACATGGAAGCAATGACAGAAGCCTCAGGAGCATTTTAGAAAGGCATGGAATGGTTTGTGAAGAAAATAATCTCTCAGTGGGTTTAGGTCTTCATAAGGTCTAGGAGGCCAGCAAGCATTTTTCGAAGGACATGTCTTCATAACTAATCTAGATTACTGCAAAATGGACTTGGTCAGTTTTCACATCCTCTCCTACAGAATAGTTTAAACATAAAATTAATTGATATTAATTTTTGTTTTAAATATTTTCTTTTGCTTTGTTTCCACTATAAGAAGTTTAAAGAAAAGTTGTTTGAAATAGGAAATATTAGGAGAGTATCCTGGAAATTTTTTGGTTATATTCCATTAGTAAATACCTTTTAAATATCAGTCCATGGTATATGCATATTTTAAATTTAGAGCATATATACATTTTTTGTTATATTTTTGTGTTAAGTATATTATAAATCAGAAAATTTTACAAGGTTGAGATGAAGATGAAATAACATTTTAATGTAAATTACATTACTTTGTTAAAATACTTATATTTTTATAGCAATAGAATTGATTCATAATTTTAATAAAATTTTTAGTGAGACTTATGATTATGACATAATTTTTGAAAATCTTTGTTTAATACTTAGTAATGCAGTGATTCAGAGGTCTCTAAGTTCACTTTATTTTTATACTTAGTTTTAATATCTGTCATGGTTGAAAAAGATTCCTCACAAGGATAAATCAGTCTAAATTGAAGTAATAAATTGTCAACTGTGTTTGCTACCAATTTTTGCAGAGGTTTTCTTTGCAGAGATACAGCTGGCAATTCTTCATCTTACTTGATGTCAATTGGTCCTTGCAAACTAATTCAAAAGCTGGTGATTTTAATATTTTAAAGGAATAGGTTAAAAACCCACTGAATCTCTTTGTGTTAAATATATTACAGCCGACTAGGACATTTTATTTCCAAGTTTAAACTGTAGAGGTATGTGAATATTTATAGGTTTTGGCAACAAAAACCACTTAACACTGAAAATATTTTCAAATATCCATGTTCAAAATGCTCACTTGAAAAGACTTTCTCATGGATTGTTAAAATGGCTTTGAAGGATTTTTTAAAAAAAATACCTGTTTCATAGACATTATTGACAACCAACCACTTGCCATCCCAGAACAGATGAGCAAATTTGGAATATTGTCTTTTTTTGTAAAAAAGCAATGTATAACCCATCTTTAAGCTTGGAAGTGAGCAGTTCATTTTGAGATAGAGAATCTTTATGGGAGAAGACTTTTTTTGGGTCGCGCACCATCTCATGAAGAATCGTAAATATTTTACATTTTAAAACAATACACTCTGAAAATTCATCTAAATGGCCAAATATAAAGTCAATAAATGGAAAATCGAAGCAAATGAAGGAACCTAGTGACCAGTGTCAGTGTTTTTCTGTCTTGAAACTCCCAGTTTTCCTTCAGGATGTCTCAAGTGCCTTCTCAGATTTGTGATCATGTGAAGGGTAGACTGAGTGAGGGCATTAATATTAATTCAAGTCCTAAATAAGACAAGGCTTAACAGCTTATGTTTCTTTTATTAAAACATTAAATGTAAACAGATTCCAGTATTTTCCTTATGCATGCCAATTAAAGTCGTGTTTACTCTGCTTCGGAGACCACTTTCTGAAGATAGCAGATTCGCTGGAGTGGTTGTGTTATCACCCCAGTCATTGGTCTTATATTGCTCTAAGACAGTTTCCCCTGTCTCCTCTTTTCTATGGAATGTATTGGGTGAAAATCTATTTGTAACTCTTTACTACTCTATCAAATGTAAGTTTAATGAATCTCTAAAGATAAATTTTAAAGAAGCCTGAAAAGGTAAGAAAGCACATCATTTGGTATATGAGAAGACGAATAGAATACGAAGATTCAAAGATAGCAGAAAAACCCTCTTACATACAAAATGTAACTTACTCATTTGGCTACAGCAGGTTTAGAGTACTTTTCTAGAGATCTTTCATTTGACTTTTCATTTAGTGACTCACTTAGAAATAGCTACGTGTCAGTTCCATCTTGTGGTTGCTATCTCACCGTTGCTCTTCTTTTCTCCAGAAAGTTTCTGTTTAACAAATACTATTGTTCACCTATCTCTAGAGCCATGCTGTCTAGTATGATAGCCACTAGCCAC